TGTATTTAATAAATAAATACATACTGATTAAAAATAAATAAATTCCACAGATGATTATTAATTACATAAATAAATAAATAAACATGTATCAAATTACTGCATTTATTTATTTAATACATTAATAAAATCTTTATTTAATAAAGAGCTGTATTAAATAAATGTATTTAATAAATAAATACATACTGATTAAAAATAAATAAATTCCACAGATGATTATTAATTACATAAATAAATAAATAAACATGTATCAAATTACTGCATTTATTTATTTAATACATTAATAAAATCTTTATTTAATAAAGAGCTGTATTAAATAAATGTATTTAATAAATAAATAAATAAATAAATAAAAGCTGATATAAATAAACGTATGTATGTATAAATAAATGTATCAAATTACTGCATTTATTCATTTAATACATTAATAAAATCTTTATTTAATAAAGAGCTGTATTAAATAAATGTATTTAATAAATAAATACATACTGATTAAAAATAAATAAATTCCACAGATGATTATTAATTACATAAATAAATAAACGCGTTTCAAAATAAATGTATCAGATTACTGCATTTATTTATTTAATAAATGAATAAAATCTGTATTTAATAAAGAGCTGTATTAAATAAATGTATTTAATAAATAAATACATACTGAATAAAAATAAATAAATTCCACAGAAGAAAAACAAAAGAAAAGTCATGTGGCTTTGGAATAACATGACAAAATTTTCATTTGTGAGTGAACTATGCCTTTAAGAAAGAAAATTAGTCATGATTCTTGTGTCTCAATCAAGTGATAATTAACATTTCTATCCAAATATAGAGGTAAAATTTGAGTTGATGGAAAATGCACACTGTAAAACAGCTTATTTAATAACAAACCAGCATGCAGCCACTCCATTCCCTCCAACACAACAAACCAAGTAATCATGTATTAAAATACAGAGCCAAATATGAGTTTCACAAACGGAGTAAAAGGTTGCATCACCACAAAACCTCAGTATGTTGAGAAGGAAACACGTCAGACACAACAGTCTAAAGAACAACAAACTGAAGATTTATTGCTCTCGCTCCATATTTATAAATACTATGTCGCTGAATGACGCATGCGGGTTTCAATGAACGCCAGCGATGTTAATAAAACAAGCAGAGAAACCGAGCCGCAACACTGATCCGGCTGATCATGAGTCTGTCTCAGCTCTATGAGCAACACAGGAACAGATCTGAAACTGAACACAAATGAGCGAGAATACAAATGAAAAACACGCCAAACTAACGAATCAGACTATGAGTGCTTTGCTTTAAAAAGAGAAATCATTTACAGAAACCAGACACAAACTAAAAAACTCCCTCTGATGGCTTTTACATACATATGTACATTATGTTTACATATATATATGTTGTTCATGATAGACAGACAGCATGATGCATTTATATTATTAGAATTAAAAAATATTATAAATATTTGTAGACTAATAGCAGGAATTCAGTTATTGAATATTTATCAGGTACATATATATATATATACATAGATTATGTAAATAATCGTTTCATCACAATCAAAGAAGAAAATAATCAACATGATTATGGTAGTCGTTCTCAACCAGAAGGTTTATTTGTTTCTGCGTTCTGAATATGTTATTTAAAAAATACTATTAACTATTATTAATATAGTAATAATATATAAATAAACTATTATTAGTATATTAAAATAATTCACTTTAAAACTAAAACTCTAAAAGAATAATGATTAAATCAATAACTTATAACTACTGTTTTTAATCAAAGAATCAGTTCTTGAAATTTCTGGAATCACAAAATGAATCATTGTTAATTAAAATATCAATACTCTCAGCTTCTGTTTGAAAATAAGCAGCTGTGTCATAATTGCAGCAGAAATGTCGGTAATATCCAGAGATTTTGAGATTATGTGATCAAGCATGTACATTTACAGTATTCTTACTGCAGAGACAATCAGAACAACTTGCTTTTCCTTTAAACAATGATTGTAATTAAAATCATCTGCCAGTTTTGCACCAAACACACTAAGCATCTAATATTCAATCAAATAAAAATAATTTAGAAAACACCAGAGAAAACTGATTATAATTACAATGCATGCCAATACATCAGAATTAAGAGTGACCTGATAGAATAGTAATAAACTGAATGAATAAATGGTGGGTGAAATATGATTTAAGATAGGATGCATCAACTCCACCTACAGATATATATATATATATAATATTTAATATTTTTTAAAACATGCTTTGTTTTTGAATGAAGCAACCATTTAAGCGAATCAGTTGCATGAAAGATTCAATGACTCGCTCATTAAGACACTGAATTGGTGCCACCTACTGTCAGTTTTAGTTTCATATTTAAAGTATAATTTCGTTTAAAAAAAAAACATTTCAGATTTAGATATTCAAAATTTCTAAAATACTAATTTCATAGCATTACTTATGCAAATGTAACTGCAGTAAATGCTGCTTTAGATGCAGCTTCTGTGCCTCTTCTGCAGCGCAAAAATGTATTGTGTTGATCCTGACTTCATTTGATCGGTCACAGCCTTTAAGGTCTTATTATCCAAAATGCATTTACAGATTAAATGCATCATTTATGTCAAATCTTTATATCTAACAAGGTTATGAAAAAATGCCCCTGGAAATCAATTGAAGCTGGCAAAGCCTTTATTGAATAAGTTCATTTCTGTCACTGCTGTGAACGAACCATCGCACAGAATATCACAGGCCTAAGACATCAGAACAAAAACACAAAATACTGTCTAATTATCATTATCCACAAAATCCAAGAAAATGTCATTTTTGTCAATATCGCACACTCCTAAAAGGAAAACATCAGGGGAAAAAGTGGACATAAAATAGGAAAAAGGTGGAAATTCAACTAAATTGTTTTTGCTGCAAGAAACCTTTGGTACATTATAAGTGAACCATACAATGAAAAAAAATGTTGTAATTCTTTAAAAAGTCGACTCTCTTGTCAGTGCTGTGGAACAGAAGTAGATTCAAGCTCAAGTTTGTACTGCTTTATACATCCCTTTTTGTCACTCCTCACTTTCTGTCTAACAAAAAGCCAAACACACACACACACACACACCCCGAATACAACTTCCAGTGATTACAGCCATTAATCTTCAGTGAAAAACAAAGAGCAGAGCGAAAAATGTTCACTCTAAACACATTTATTTATGGTGACGACTATTGTTGAAAACATCACCCACCTCCTAGAGTTATAATTGACCCCACAAATCAGACTAACAGCCCTTCAGCATTTCTTAACCTCTCCAGTCCAGAAGCCCTCACTCTCCCATCAGCATTGCTGCGCTGCAGAAACAGAGAGAATGATCTTCTCAGGAATATTTGCTCTTGGCAATATCATGATGCCAGATGCTGTGCTGTTTCAGGAACACAATTGCTTGAGGCAAAGCAAGACCACCAAACTAAAGCACGATCCATATGGACAACAGCAGACTCCAGAAGAGGAGGAGGAGGAGGAGGAGGAAGACAAACTAATAACTAAGGAGACTGCAGGGCTGTAATTGACGTTCTCATAGAAGGAACACTTGCTTTAGCCTTCAGATAATTTAGTAGCCAGACTAATATATATATATATATATATATATCAAGTGTTATTTCAGTATTACTGAATCTTATATATCTTATATTATCTATATAATATTATTTATATAGTTTATTAATTTATATAAACAAAGTACCGTACACTGTGTGTGTGTGAGAGAGAGAGAGAGAGAGAGAGAGAGAGTGTGTGAGAGTGTGTGTGTGTGTGTGTGTGAGTTTGCGTGTGTGTGTGTGTGTGGGTGCGTGTGTGTGTATAATGCCAAAGTTGCAGTTTAAAAGTATTTGACCTGAATCTACAGTATTGAAAGGTAGCAGGTATAGCAGGTTTTACTTTTTACATTTCAATGTTTTATGACAATTATTCGAAGAAGAAGCAAAAGCCTTCTTTCCAAATGCAGTCCTCATATTAGGGATAAGAATTCATACTCTATCAACTGAAAGCAGGCTGTAATACGAATCTGATTGAAAATGAGCATAACCTGCAAAATATGAAAGCAAGGAACTGATTAGTACTTTACAAACAAAGTTGAACCAATGAAACTGAGCCATTTAACCTTTGCATACAGACTACAATGAGTTACACTGAGTAATTACTTTAATCACAACATGGTAAACGATGAAGCATCTGCAAAGAACAAACACCAGCATATCTGTATAAAATATCTAGAAAAGTAGGAGCAACTTGTTTCTAATTTGCAACAAAAAATATAATAATTTCGTATTCACTTTCATAGATCAATATGTTCTTTAAAAGACAAACTGTCATCAAGTGCAATCATATTTATAGTTTGAAACAATCTCTGTACCCCGAGCAGAGCAATAAAACTACGCTAGACTGCACAGAAGCCAAAGATTGAGTATCATTATACATGTGCTCATTATGTAAGATTTGTAATGACTCAAATGTCTAGAACATGAGGGCAGAAAAAAAAACATACCATTTATTAGCTTGCTGGATTTTCAATTCCAATCTACAAAGCATGCATATTTAATGTCATGGAAATGATATTTTTCCATCTTCAATGCAAGACCATTTTTCACGATCCTTCAGGCGAGCACAAGAGGTGAACTGTTGTTTCTGAACATTTGATAAGAATTCAGCAAACCTGATGTTGCATTCAAATATTGCAGATAATCAAAACAGGACAGTGTAATTAATTCTGGGTCACAGATAAAAAAACATATATTATTTTCCATGCCTTACTAACAGTTTTCCCAAACAACAAAGCACATTACGTGCTCCTGCTTGCCCTCGATGAATTAATTTCATTGTGTAAAGAAAAATGAGATGTGATGCGAACACACCATGAGAATGTACGGCAAAAAGGGGAAAAAACGATGGACACATAAAGCAAAGAAGGAAAGTGAAAAAAATTAGGGTTGAGGGTTTCTTACCCCTGCGGCAAATCCCAGACTGCCATCCAAGATCCGCTTCTGTGAGGAGGAAAGAAAAAACTAACATTTAAGTAAAATTAATGGTACAAAAAGAGAGAGAGAGAGAGAGAGAGAGAGAAATCAACAGCTGATTTTTACTGTAAATTATATGATGACTTGCCATTTTACACTTCCATAAACTGTACATTTAACAGTATTTTACTATAAAATTATATGAAATGTCCTGTTAGATCACATTTTTACTGTATATACTAAGTGAACTTACTGTTAACCAATTAACAGATTTTTAACTTACTGTTAAAATTAGTTAAACATTCAAATCTTCACATTATTAGTTCATTCACCTTGACTCTTATAAAATTTTAAATTACGAATTCAAAAAATCAAAAAAAAAAACAATTTGTAAAAAAATTGAATTAAAAATTTAAAAATATATATATTTTCACCATTTACTCTATGCCATTTATGTTGTGCCAAACTCATTTTACTTGCAGAAATATGCATTAAAATTTCCTCATTAAAGGGAAAGTTCACCCAAAAATTAATAAAGGCGTCATTTAATCTCTCTCATGTTCCAAACCTGTTCCTTCTGTTAAAACACAAAAGAAGATAATTTGAAGAATGCGGGTAACAAAACCGCTTCTGGCAGCCATTGACTTTCATAGTATGGAAAAAGAAAAGGAGTTCAATGGCTATCAGCAACTATCCCTTTAACTCACATGGCTATATGGAAAAGAGTGTTCAGTACATTCTTCATAATATCTTCTTCTATGTCGAGCATACGATGACAGAATTTTAGCTTTGAACTATCACTTTAAGCTTCTCTCTGCATGACTCTAAATTAGATTAAAACCCTGTCTGATGTAACCCGTCTCACCTGTCCGCTGGAGAAGACGAAGACGAGAGCGGCTCCAGCTGCGGTGAGGCCCCAGGTGAACAGGGTCCCCAGCAGGGCCTGAAGCACAGGACTGACGCCTGCGATCATGATGCCTGGTCAAATGAAACGCACAGAGACGGAGGATGCAGTTTATTCCACAGACGGGTGTGTGAACCAAATCCTGTTTATCCAGGATATCTGCAAACACTGCTGCTCTGTAGATTAAAACTAGCACATTTACATAACCATTATGTTTATTTACAGGTAGAGTTAATGGCAAGCCCAACGGATATGGTTTATAATTACTGCCCATTTAAACCATAATGTTTGTTTACAGGTAGAATTAATGGCAATTAACGGATACAGTTTGTAATTATTGTTTAATCTCTGCCATATTCGTGTTACAATATATCTACAGTCAGTTGAGTGAGTGCAACAGCTGTCATTACGCATGAATCAAATAAACATATTAACTAACGCTGCAGTTTCTTCTGTCTTATGAATGTTAAAACAATCTCTCAAGTGACATAATAATTTAAATGCAGCGCTATTTGATGAAACCACATACACTGAAAGGCTCTTGTAAAATTTATCCGCTCTTGCATTTAAATATTTCAGTATTTCAAAAACACACACACGCCAAAAAAATAAAAAATAAAAAAAACGAATCGATAACAGTTTTGTGGTTTCTGGGCTTGTTTTCATTCATTTTACTGCCGCAGAATACACTGCTTACTATTAAATAGTTCTTACTGTTTAGAGAACAGCTTCACTTCCTGCTTCCCTGTGTACACGTGTCTGTGTTACAGCCGAAGTCCCGCCTCCCTCGAGCTCCTATTGGTTCATTCACAGTTTTAAAGTGACCGCGTCAGCTACTTTCCAAAAACAGGTTAACGCATGAAGTTTACAATTGACAGAAAAGTTTTACAGCTGAATACTGTTGTGAACTCGTGGATTATGTCTTTTTCTTTTTTGGAAACTTATATTACGAGAAAATGGTGCCTTTGGGAAAAAAAATAATTAATAAATCAATCAACCAATCAATCAATAAATGCACTAAAAACATAATATCATTAAAAAAAAATTAATTTACTTATTGATATGGTGACCTGCTTCTGTATACTGTATAAAAAAAAGAAATTAGCTACAAGTTTTCGAACTTGCAGCTAAATAAAACAGATTACTGGAGTGTGTTTTACATAGAAAATACTATTTCAGTCTTTCAGCATTTCATTTTAAAGTTTTGGCTGCGGCTTTGTAATTATTTGTGAAATTGACTAGCAATTTCTGAGTGAAAGTTATTTCAAAGTTAAAAAAAAAAAAATGTTTGGTGTAGTCTATACAGAATATTAAATTAATAAATTTTAATTTGATCAAATCACATTATTTAAATTAATTTTAATTTAAATTAATTATTAGCAGCATTCTGGGCCCCTGATTGTATTATTCTGGATACATTTGCATGTGCTCTGATACTTTCACGCTGCTTTATATTCAAGTGACCCGAGTTTGAACCCCTTTTAAATCATATTCCAATCCCATGAATGATACAATTATAAAATGTAATACTTTTTATATTGCAGTATTTCTCTAATCAACCTTTTCCTATCTCTAGTCCATTATCTTTTAATTTTTGGCATGTGCGTTAGCACCTTTGTATTTGCTCTTCAGTTATTACTCTCCTTTTATCTTTCATCTCTTTTCTCATTTATTTGATCTAATTTCTTGTTTGATAACGGCAGCTCTTTTGGAAATGCATTTGGTTAAGTATCCTGCACTGCTTCTTGTCTCTTTCATGACAATGTGATTCAATAACCGTATGAACTTCTCGTGTATGTTCATCTTTAAGAACAGAATGGAAGAATCAGACAAGTTTTGAAATAACTGACTTCCATCACACAGAACACGATTTCCGTATTATTTTCTTATTAATACATTAAATACTTTGAATATATTATACTGGATTTCTCATCAGGTTACAGGTCATAGACTGTCAACAACAAATTAGTCAAAATGCAACATAACAAATAAAGCATCGCTCAATTTTATGTGCATTTGAGATCTGTAATTCAGTTCAGGATGAATGATAATCCATAAGAAATTAGATCAGAGAACAGAAATGAAAGATAAAAGGGGAGTCATTTCAGTAGTGCTTGAAAAGCAGAAATAATGGAACTAATTAAAAAAACACACATGCAGCAAAAACTTGAAAGACAAAGACATAAAGAGATGCACAGACGAGACCAGGAACGTGTATTAAAGCTTTCTGAAGCAAAGGTTTCTGAACAGTTTGAATCATTCTAAAGCAGTTACAATTCTTAGAAACTACAACATAATGTTCCGTATGTTCCTTGTTAAGAGCTACATGAAAACTCCAGCCCAGAACAGTGAAACCAAATGCCGGCCATGTAGATTTATTAGAGAGGACTGGATACCTGTCTTCAAGTCACTCGAGGCCCTTTAAGACCTCTAAATAAGCTCAGCCTACAAAGCATTTCCAAGTTTACAGTAACACGCCAATGAAAAGTTCCAAATTCTAGGAATGATTTCATGGAATTGGGAGTAGAGTGATCTCCAAAACATTCTGCATATTGCATAACGACAAATCTGCTACGAAAACTGTGCTTGTCACCGAGGTGAGTATAACCAGTACCTCCCTCAGTTGCTGTTATCCTGGGAAGCTCACTGTGAGAATTGCGGCATTCCAACTATGCGTGTCAGAGGAGGAACAGGACTGAGGTGATCGCTCATTACTCTTGCCCTTTTATCTGCAACCGTTTCCACCCACCGAGGCCTTGCGCGTGATAAATGATTCACTGACCAACAAACAAAGACAATCAGAGGGAAATATAAACACTGAAGGGGGGAACGCAGCACATTAAAACAAGCAGAGGGAGAGATTCATCACTCATCCTTTGGGGACGTATTTGGAAAGTGGGTGGCCCAGAGGGGAAGTTGGGGGTTGATCGGCTCAGATTGACCCCCCACTGAACTGCGAGGAAAGCGAGGAAACAGAGGGGTGGAGAGAAGGAGGAAAATGAGAGGGAGTGAGCAAAGGAGTGTGAAAGAAAGGCTGGATGGACCTTCTGACAAGGGTGTTTAGTTATGAAAACAAAAGTATTGTAACAGATGGCACCCTGGAAACCTCATAACAGCGGATTGGAACGAGCCAGCGCAGCTTATGAGAGTCAACGGATGACTTCAGACACACACACACACTCTGGACGCTGCAGGGGGGATGTATAAGATCTCACTAGGAGAGTCAAACACCCACTAGATTTCTGCTTTGGAGTCTAGATCTTTCAACAAATATCCTACCACTCATTTGAGTTGGCAGTTTGTTTTTCCTCCGAGCTTATGCTGAAATTGCTTCAAAGACCAACCGGGGACGTTCTTGAGATGGGAAAATAAACCAGCTTCAAGGACAAGGTGGATGCAAACCTGTGGAGATCTAATTTAGGCAAGATCTGGTACTCTTGATCTTCTCCTGCAAGGACTATAAACTACAAACGTTTTTGACCAGAAAGTTTGTCAAGTTGCAATACATTTCCGCAACTTCTGCAAGGACCGCAAACTATTTTCTTCCAGAAATCTTGGCAATTTTTTAATAAGTTTGAACTCCTGTGAGGACTACAAACCATTGTTTTTCAGAACTTTTAGCAATTTCTAATACGTTTGAACTTCTCCTGCAAGGACTAAAAATCATTTTTGACCAGAAATTTTAGCATGCTCTAATGCATTTGAACTTTTTCTGCAAGAACTGCAAACCATTTTTGACATTTTGGCAAGTTCTAATACTTTTGAACTTCTCCTGCAACAACTACCAACAATTGTTGATATTTTAGCAAGCTCTAATGCATTCAAACTTCTTTTCCAAGGACTACAAACCATTTTTGACCAGAAATTTTGGCCAAATCTAATACATTTGAACTTCTCCAAGAACTACAAATCGTTTTTTTGACTAAAAATGGAAACCGCGAAACCTTTGGGAATGTTTTACGACAATGTTTCGATTCTAGATCTGGACAGCGCTGCGATAAACAACGTCTACATTCGGGAGGACTTCGATACTTTCAGCGTCACCATGGCCGTCTTGTACCTGGCCGTGTGCATTGTGGGATTGGCCGGGAACTCGCTGGTCATCGTCACCATTCTGAAACTGGACAAAATGTCTTCGGCGACCACCGTCTACATTTTCAACTTGGCTTTGGCGGATGGACTCTTCATGGTGGGACTCCCGTTCATCGCCATCCAAAACTTCCAGGACCAGTGGATCTTCGGAGAAGCCGTTTGTAAGCTGGTTATGGTTCTGGATGGCATCAATCAATTCACAAGCGTGTTCTGCTTAACGGTGATGAGTGTTGATCGCTATATGGCTCTGGTAGACCCGCTGCGTTTCGCTCGCTGGCGGACGCCGCGACGGGCGAAGCTCATCGCTGCATTAATGTGGTTTATCTCTCTGTTTCCAGTGCTTCCAATGGCTATTCACTTTTCTGCCACCTACGGTTTGTGCACCGTTGACCCTCATATTGCATCTGAGTCCTGGTGGTTGGCCTTTCTTAGCTACACATTCGTACTGGGCTTCGCCTTGCCGTTCACCGTAATGATTGTGTTTTACACGGCACTTCTAGTGACTCTGAGAAGCGCCAGACAGCAAACGTCTTCTTCAATGGAAAGTCACAGGTTTGAGACACAGGTAACCAAGATGGTGGTGGCGGTTGTTTTGGTGTTTGGCATCTGCTGGCTGCCGTTCTACGTCTTCAACTTTTGCTCCCTGCACCGAATAGACCTGGTGCTCGATTTCACGCGTGGCTTTGAGTTTGTGGTGCTGCTGTCGTACTCGTGGAGCTGCGCCAATCCAATACTGTACGCATGTCTGTCGGAAACATTTCGAAGTCATTTCCACGCCCTCCTCTGCCCTCACAAGAGCTCCCCGACACACTTTGACAGAGACACCGAGGGGTTTGTCTTGCACGACACCAATGTACAAAGCACGCTAGCTTAGTACGTCTCTGTTTACATGTAAATATTTCGAAGGGTTTGTGTTGCAATGCATTCCCACTTTGTAAACAGACAATCTTTGCTTGCCACATTTTTCTAGTACACTGTCTCTGTGATTGCTTTTGCTTCTATGCAATAGAGAAAAAGACATGAGCAGACTGAGTCATGATAAGTGGCGAGTGGAAGTCGATAACTCACCTTATGCTGCAGCAACGCTCTTTTACCACTAAAGCAAAGTTGCTTGCTTTCCATGCAAAGGAAGGGCCGTGTTGTAAAGGATGATTATGCAATTTCTGCTCTCCTGTACAATTGCTGTCATACTGATTGTGGACTTCAGGATGATGTCATGGTTGTCATGGCATCCAGCTTGGACCAAATATTTGAGGACTTTTGTGTGACTGTTGCCGAATGACAGTCTTCAACTTTTGCTCCCTGCACCGAATAGACCTGGTGCTCGATTTCACGCGTGGCTTTGAGTTTGTGGTGCTGCTGTCGTACTCGTGGAGCTGCGCCAATCCAATACTGTACGCATGTCTGTCGGAAACATTTCGAAGTCATTTCCACGCCCTCCTCTGCCCTCACAAGAGCTCCCCGACACACTTTGACAGAGACACCGAGGGGTTTGTCTTGCACGACACCAATGTACAAAGCACGCTAGCTTAGTACGTCTCTGTTTACATGTAAATATTTCGAAGGGTTTGTGTTGCAATGCATTCCCACTTTGTAAACAGACAATCTTTGCTTGCCACATTTTTCTAGTACACTGTCTCTGTGATTGCTTTTGCTTCTATGCAATAGAGAAAAAGACATGAGCAGACTGAGTCATGATAAGTGGCGAGTGGAAGTCGATAACTCACCTTATGCTGCAGCAACGCTCTTTTACCACTAAAGCAAAGTTGCTTGCTTTCCATGCAAAGGAAGGGCCGTGTTGTAAAGGATGATTATGCAATTTCTGCTCTCCTGTACAATTGCTGTCATACTGATTGTGGACTTCAGGATGATGTCATGGTTGTCATGGCATCCAGCTTGGACCAAATATTTGAGGACTTTTGTGTGACTGTTGCCGAATGACACATGAAAAAAGAATGTGGTTGTGAATTTGTTTGAAAACAGTTGATAAATGAGATGTTAATGGGCAACACTGATTTAAATGACCATGTGTTATTAATTATACATACAATATCTACACAGGGTAATGTATATTTTTATTATTTGATTTATATATATATTTAGCTATTTTTTTGCTAAAATTCTTTATTTGGCTCGACAGGATGCCACACCAAGAAACCAGAAGTAATTATGCTTTGTAATATATTCTGAACTTATGATTAGAAATTAACAATTTACCCTTGTTTCCAGTGTATCACAGTATTTTGCCAATATTTTATGTTTGTGGTTTATGACGATATTTTACTTTATTGCATGTATGGAACACTTGCATATAATCATCCAAAACATGGATTTTTACTTTCTACAGATGTAAATTATCATTGTTCAGAAACATTAAAATTCACAGCTAACAACAGAGTGTGCAATTCTCTTTGTTTAAGTAAGTAGACTGAATTATTTAAACATTTATGAATCTCTGAGCACATCCTACCAAAGATTAAAGTTAAAGTTTTCAGATTAAACTTTCAGAGAAACAAACATGCATCCAATTTGAGTCGTTTCTGCTCTAAAATATATAAATGTATAACCGCTTGCAGAGAAAAACATGAAGTTTGACTCAGGTTGGTATTAATATCTTGACTTGCAACTGAGAAATGCATTGAGAAAATGGTCCACAGAACTTCTTTGTCTCACATCTGGCCCACATTTGAAATGTTATAAACGTGTTGTTTTTTCTGCAGTTTTATAGGCAGCCCAGGTGCAATACAAGCCTATAACATACCTTTCCTTACTCAGTATTCATGACTAAAGGGAAACCTGGTAGCATAAAACTTTTCTCATCAAAATAAGGGTACGAACACACATGCATACATGTATATGCATACACTTTTCCTTAAAATGACCATAGTTGCCAGTCATCCTGTTAAAAATAAATAAATAAATAAATAAATATGCATAAATATATAAGACAGGACTTGGTGGGAGGCAGCATGCTTAGATTAGAACACTTAAAATGCTTCATTCCCATGTACAAATGTAGAAGAAGAGTGTCCCATGGCTCCATGATGAATATGTTTTCGTGACGATTGTCATAGAATTATACCACTGACATAAAACAGATGCAATCTAAGATCACCAAATCTTCCAAAAAAATGATTTATATACAAAATTAGAAGCTTAGCAATGGCTCTCACACGCATTATGTCCCGAAACAATTTTAAATAACATCTCTCAGGAGGTTATGGGATCACGTCCCTCATTACTCTCACCAAAATCAGCATGCATATTATGTCATAAGCAACTATGAACAAATAGAAAAAAAAACATAAGTTCAATATACTCTAGTTAACAACAAAACCGTCCTCTAGTTCAGCTGTCACTTCTCTGTCACTGATGACCAAGGCTGTTTAAAGAGATTTCATTTATTGTTCCCAACGTTTGGCTTTGCACCTTAGAAAACATCCTTTTAAACTCCTAGCTTGGCTGTTTGACTATAATCATGTATTATCAGTAGCTATCACTGTGCCTACTCTGACAAAGGATTTTAATTGGGCCCTTGGGCGTCACATGTCCAGTGCAGGCCTATAATGTATTTCAGTAATAAAATGAATAGGTTAGTCTCCTGAGGCACTTATTCAAGACAGTAAGACAGCTCTATGCAGTTTATTAAAACAACACAAGTTGGGGCTTAAAGAAAAAAAATTGTTGAAAAATGCATTTAACAAAATGCCTCATTTTGGATTCATCTTCTATTTGATGAATGGCAATTAAAAAAAATTTCATTTGAGGGTGATGTGACTCAAACCAAACAGTAGTTTTCTTAATGACTCTCTGACAATCAAACATGTTCTTGAACAGATGTATTTAGCTTTTACTGGAAATATCATGGAAATGTTATGCTCACTCATTTTTATTGACATGCAGGCTGTTGATCCAGTGGCGTTGCAATGCAATTTTCCGATTATAGTCTAAAGCTCGTTATATTTTTTAAGTTTCAAATAAGTTTCTCTTCACAAATAATGTCTTGTGAGTTATGACTTTTATTTTGTCCGTGATGAAAGCTGTGGTATATACCGCTGCACTGCTTTCGAATAGTTTTTCTATGTAAACAGGTGCAAGACGAATGCGAATCACATAAATACATTCTGCATGAACAGCCTTTATGCTTTTATTTAGCTCACCCTCATTAAGTCCTTGTTTTAAGTGGCTGATATTTATAGCTAGCTGTTTCGACCTGTAGGTGGGACTGTTATCAGTCGGCGGGTTTCAACAAACTGCCATTGATTCAAAGAACTAATAATGAAATTGTTTAAGAAAATCAATAAATTAAACCTAAAAAGTCTGAATTCTATGCAGACAGATTCTATGCATATTCCTTTGCAGACTGTGTTAACACAGTTAAATAGAACACACACTTGGCCTTGTGGGCTTCTTCTTCTTCTTTCTAGTCTAGTTTATTCAGTTTGTGGAGAATTTTGTCACTTTTAATGTAAGTCACGAACATTTCCGTCATTCAGTATTTCCCCCACATCTCAAATGATGTGTTTGATAACATTCACCAGCAAGAAATGGCTTTTTAAAATTTCCTATAATACAAACTATTATTTTCATGCTATTTAAATAATTCGACAAAATACAATTAAAATATGATGCACAAAAGCTATGGATTTTTATGGTCTTGAAACAAAGTGTTGTAAATATATGCATAATGATTTTATTGATATTTAGATGTTCGCATTTCAGATTCACAATTCAGTCTTTTTGTCTGGGATAAGCTTAAAACAATCAAATATTACATAAATGGAAGTATAAAACATTAATGACGCAGGCATGGGGGGAAAAAAAAAACGTTTCCAAGACAGTTTTAATGAAACCTTCATATAACAAAAAGAAAAAAGTTGAAATCTTAGTTTTAACAAAAGTCAGCAACTGGGATATTAAAGTGCCCAAAGTTAAAGAAACACAGAAATGCTTTGCTTTCTCATTACTAATGCACAATCCTCTCTCTTTCAAACACACACCATCTTAACAACAATCAGATTTTCCCATTGCTTTTACTTTGTCAGCTTGAGAACAATGGATTTCCTCTCTGTCGCCCTTTTCTTGAAACCTGAATTTAATTTAAAACAGTGCAAATATCCATTTGGTCAGAGTTTCAAGTTAGTACCCAATGTTCCGAAAATAAATGGTTCACTATTTTATAGGCTACTTATAAAATATATAGGATATTCTTTATGTTTCCATTCATATTTCAGTTAAATCATTCATCATTTTGATTTATTTTACTCTTTTTTTTTCAAGTTGCGTCTGTTTATTGCCATTGCCACAGTTTACCTTTCATCAAGGCTTTTCATGACTTATCTGCCATTGACCTTTAACCCCATATATTCTCAGTTTCTGCTCTTGTTGACTAAGTGCTGTCAGAGGTGAAGGCCCGCTGGTGTTCATCATTTCTCTTCTGTTGGGATGAAGGATTTCAGTTCTGTTAAAGCAGAACATACTATAACTACACTCTAAAAAATGCTGGGTTGTTTCAACCCAACTTTGGGTTGAATATGGACTAACCCAACCATTGGGTTAAAAATGTAATGTAAAAATTGAACCCAACGGTTGGGTTAGTCCATATTCAACCCAAAGTTGGGTTGAAACAACCCAGCATTTTTTAGAGTGTAATCTCAATTTTCAGATTTTTGTAACTTGATTGTGCAAGGCTTTCCGGTTTCATTCCCTTACAGTTATTTGCTGTACAAATGCTGCTTGATATTGCAAACTGGCATTTGTTTTCATTCATTTTAATTCCCTGATAGCACACTCTAACAAATGCTGGGTTAAATACAACCCAGTGCTGGGTAAAATAGGGACAAACCCAGCAATTGGGCTGTTTTGACCCAGCGG